GAAAGAGTGATCATGAATATTGCCAAGGGAACAATATTCCTCCTCCTGCCGGGACTTGGCATGGTGGGGAACCTCTATGTCTTTGTGAATTACGTGTGGACTTTCTTTCTGAATGCAGAGAAGAAACCTATACACATTATCCTCATCCACTTGACTTTTACATATATCATAATGATTTTGACCAAAGGAATGCCACAGGTGATGGTAGCTTTTGGTGTGAAAAACTTCCTACATGACACGGGCTGTAAGATGGTTATTTTCTTGGGGAGGGTGGCTCGGGGCCTGTCCATCTCCACCTACAGCCTCCTCACAGTGGTCCAGGCCATCACCATCAGCCCTAGGACCTCTGTGTGTGGGTAGCACCAGCAAAAGGCAGTTCGGCACATCCTTTCCTGTTTTCTCTTCTTCTGGGTGCTCAACTCCTTGATAAACATGCACTTATTCACTATCCTCACAAGCAACAGCAGAAATGCATTACCTGGACTTGGAAAATCTTTACTATTGTCATTTTAAACTTCAAAGCCAGGTAATACAATGGATGATTCTCACAGGCATGGCCCTGCATGATGCCCTGTTTCTGGGTCTCACTGGCATGGCCAGTGGCTACATGGTGTTCCTTCTCCATAAGCACCACAAGCACTCACTCTACCTGCAGAACACCAAACGTCACTACACACTACCACGCAACGTGAGATAAAATCCACTGAAAGCGTTCTCCTTCTGATGCTTTGTTTTCTTCTCTTTTACTGGATAGATTCCATTATTACTTCATATGTAAATTACTCCCTGCAGAAGCATTTCATACTCATACTTGTTCATGAACTTCTAAGCCTTGGTCATGTTAACCTCAGCCCCTTTGTGATGATTTATAGAGACAGACGACTCTCTAAGTGTTGGCACATCTGGAAGACTTGAGGAATTGTTTGTGTTTTGATCCCTTCAGCACAGAGGTTCATGTGCTACAATAAATGGCTTAGAAGGGTCTCGTAACCATGTAAGAACAATATTCTCATAGAGGAAAGCTGGCAACCAGCTGCTTTGATCTGAAGAACCACCTTAGAAAGCTATGGGGACACCACTTTCTTTTTTATTTTTATATACTGCCAACATTCAAAAAGTGGTTAAATTTCATGTAAATGCAATGGCCCTCTAACCACCAGGCTTCTGGTAGTATGAGGCAGGAAAAGAACTTGGTAAAATCTGTCATAATGTCTAAGTCATTTGCCCAGGAATTCCACTTCTCGGACCTAATTCTTCAGATACATATGTTCCGAACCAGCAGTTAGCGTAATGGCTATGTTGCTGGACTCCAACATAGTCGACTGTGGTTCACGTCCCAGACCCGGTGGCTTAAAACTCATGCCGGGCACATGTGCGTGCATGCCCAAGATCCTGAGAGGAGAATGGAGGAGAAGGGATTGCAGTGTGGCCATCCCACTGGGGGAGGTGATTTCTCACTTTCTGTCTCTCTGTCTGTCCAGCGAGCACATGCACCGTATAATGAAAACCTCTCCAAAAAAAAGAACAGATACATGTGTTCAGTTAAGAATTACATCACGGGGGCCAGCAGATGGCTCATTTTGAGACCTGGAGCTGGCAGCTTGTATGACTGCCCAAGATCCTGGGAGAAGATTGGAGCAGAAGGGATTTTCAGCTTGGCCATCTCCCCTTGGGGCGGATTTCTCACTTTTCATCTTTCTATTTCTCTCTCTCTTTCTCAGGAGACCACACACAAACTAAGGAAAAAAATCTCTTAAAAAATACAATTACCGTAACAAAAATATTAGAGATTATTTGAATGACAAACTAAATATCCAGTAAGACAGGCTACATGCTTGGCCATTTGCAGTTATCCCCAAGTATCAGACCACACAAAGAGCATTTATGGTGTTTACAGTGTGAGAAGAGAGCTCAAAATGCATTGATATGGACTGACACTCAAGGTATTTTATTAATTCATTAAAACAAAAAGCTCCTTTCTGGAAGCACATTGGCTGGCTGTGGGGACCCGACAGCTGCACGTGCCTGGAAAGTCGGCATCCCATATCAGAGCACGTCTCCAGGATGCCCTAGGAAATCAGCAATTTTGTTCCTTCAAAATAAGAAGCAAGACTCTGACTTTTGGCAGAAATGAAGACAGCCTGACAGGCCGATGTACTCGGTCATCCTGGCCCCTGGCAAATCGCCC